TGGAAGCTTACGCGCTAGTAGTAGCTGATCGACATTGTTTCTCACTGTGAAAGTTTAATTTTAAAAAAGAGGGTATTTGCGCGTGGGGATCTTTAACGCGAAATACCCTCTTTTTTTAATCTCACACCCGAATGGTGCCTTATTCTATTTCAGTTCGTCTGCGATTTCACCGAGCATCTGGCGTGCGATCACGAGACGAAGTACTTCGTTTGTGCCTGCACCGATTTCAATTAACTTCGCATCTCTCATCTGACGTTCTACCGGAAACTCACGAGTGTATCCATAACCACCGAGAATTTGAATGGCATCTAAGCCCACTTGAGTGGCCATTTGTGCTGCTTGAAGTTTTGCTTTTGCAGCCATCATGGATGCTTCTTTACCTTGCATCAATCCTAAATCCCAAGTTTTTGCAGCTTGATAAGTGATCGCACGACAAGCTTCATACCAAGCTGCCGCTTCGGTTAAGCGTTCTTGAACTTGTTGGAAGGCACCAATATGTTTTCCAAATTGTTTACGTTCTTTGGAATACTGAGTGGCCACTTCTATACAATTGCGGGCGATTCCTAGAGATAATCCTGCGATGGTAATTCGTTCGATATCTAGATTTCGCATCATGGATTTTACGCTCGAGTTTTCTTCACCCACACGATTGGCTTCCGGCACCATCACATCCGTGAACCAAAGTTCACCAGTAGGAGAGGCGCGCATGCCCATCTTTTTGAATTTTTTACCTTTGGAAAATCCCACCATGTCTTTTTCGATGATGAAAGTGGAGAGATCTTTTTTTGTAGGACCAGTTTTAGCGTAGCAATAAAAGATATCGCCGTTTGGCCCGTTAGTGATCCATGTTTTAGATCCATTGATTTTATAAGCGCCGTTTGCTTGTTTTTCTGCGCGAGTGAGCATACCCAAAGCATCTGAACCTGCACCCGGTTCACTCATTCCCATTCCACCGATGTGTTCACCTGAAATGAGTTTTGGAAGGTATTTTTGTTTTTGTTCTTTTGAGCCATTACGGCCGATCTGGTTCACGCACAAAATGGAGTGAGCAAGATAAGAAAGAGTAGTGGATGCATCCACAGCTGCCATTTCTTCCATGGCGATGGTTGCTGCCACAGCACCCATGCCCGCGCCGCCGTCTTCTTCTGCTACCGTGATTCCCAATAAGCCCAAATCACCTAGTTTTCTAAAGGCTGCATCATTGAAGCCTTCTATTTCATCGAGGTGTTCGATTTTTGGCGCTAATTGTTCTTTAGCGAAGGATTTAACAGACTCAGCAAGCATTTTTTCTTCTTCAGTGAAGTACCAGAGTGACATATGGCTTCAGAATGCCATATCCTATAATAGATGAAAAGCTGGCATTTAGGCTTGATTAGCCTTTTATTTTCACCCGACTATATACTTGCTG